GTGTGTGTGTGTGTGTGTGTGTGTGTGTGTGTGTGTGTGTGTGTGTGTGTGTGTGTGTGTGTGTGTGTGTGTGTGTGTGTGTGTGTTTTCCTTTTGATGGCCCCAGAGAGTTAAGTTTTGAGTGGGGGGGGATTGGAGCGGGGGGGGGTGTGTGTGTGTGTGTGTGTGTGTGTGTGTGTGTGTGTGTGTGTATGCACATGTACACCCAGCCATGTGTTCATGTGTACAAGTACTGGTGTGCACATTCATGGAGGTCAGAGGACAATCCCAGGTGTTGGTCCTTACCTTCCACTTTATTTGAGACCTTGCCTCTTGTTCATTGATGCCTATGCCAGGCTATCTGGACCCCAGGCTTCCAGGGATTCTGTCTCAGCCTCCTGTCCTGCAGTATGAACTCTAGCATTACAGACCCATTCTGCAGTGTCTGACCTTACATCTTGGGTCTGGGGATCTGGAATAAGGCCCATATGCTTTTACAAGAAGAACTTTAACTACTGAGCCATCCCTCTAGCCTCAATGAGTTTGTGTTTTAAACTAATTATTGTATTTATTGATAGTTAGACTCATTCAATGATTTCTATGGAGAACAGAAAGCTTTCCACTCCTGTATTGAAAGGTCTTTATGTCCTCTGAGCAGAAACTTAACCTAGAGTCCAAGGACAACTCATCTAGCTACCTTATGCAGGCAGAAAGAGAGGCTTGAGATAGAACATTCTGAAACCCAAAGTACTGTTTCTAACAAAGTTCTTCACAGAGTCATGGCTGGTGGAGTGATTATTCAAATGATTTTACAAATAATGTGCACTTATTTCTTTACATCATCTTTAAAGAACAAATATAACAGACATCAATAACCTCTTTCCTAGTTAAAAAAAAAATCACAGACAACATATGTCTATGTCTTCTCCAAGTGGTGGAGTGATTATTCAAATGATTTTACAAATAATGTGCACTTATTTCTTTACATCATCTTTAAAGAACAAATATAACAGACATCAATAACCTCTTTCCGAGTTAAAAAAAAAAAAAAAAAACCAATCACAGACAACATATGTCTACGTCTTCTCCAAGGTCTAGTGGAATATTAGACTAGCATCCTGTGTTCTGAGTTGTTCCTTTTATGAATTTTCGGGGTGTGATGTCATGAGCCTGTAATCCCAGCAGTCAGGGGGTGG